CATTTCTAAGACTTGGCACCACTGATATAATGTCATCATATGTAGTGGTCATTTCTAAGCATTGGTACCACTGATATAATGTCATCATATGTAGTGGCCATTTCTAAGCCTTTGCACCATTGATATAATGTCATCATATGTAGTGGTCATTTCTAAGCATTGGTGCCACTGATATAATGCCATCATATGTAGTGGCCATTTCTAAGCCTTTGCACCATTGATATAATGCCATCATATGTAGTGGCCATTTCTAAGCCTTGGCACCACTGATATAATGTCATTATCTGTAGTGGCCATTTCTTAGCCTTGGCACCACTGATATAATGCCATCATATGTAGTGGCCATTTCTAAGCCTTGGCACCACTGATATAATGCCATCATCTGTAGTGGTCATTTCTTAGCCTTGGCACCACTGATATAATGCCATCATCTGTAGTGGTCATTTCTTAGCCTTGGCACCACTGATATAATGTCCTCGTATGTAGTGGCCATTTCTAAACCTTGGTACCACTGATATAATGCCATCATATGTAGTGGCCATTTCTAAGCCTTGGCACCACTGATATAATGCCATCATCTGTAGTGGTCATTTCTTAGCCTTGGCACCACTGATATAATGCCATCATCTGTAGTGGTCATTTCTTAGCCTTGGCACCACTGATATAATGTCCTTGTATGTAGTGGCCATTTCTAAACCTTGGCACCACTGATATAATGCCATCATATGTAGTGGTCATTTCTAAACCTTGGTACCACTGATATAATGCCATCATATGTAGTGGGCATTTCTATGCCTTGGCACCACTGATATAATGCCATCATCTGTAGGGGTAATTTCTATGCCTTGGCACCACTGATATAATGCCATCATATGTAGTGGTCATTTCTAAGCCTTGGCACCACTGATATAATGCCATCATATGTGGTGGTCATTTCTAAACCTTGGCACCACTGATATAATGCCATCATCTGTAGTGGTCATTTCTAAGCCTTGGCACCACTGATATAATGCCATCATATGTAGTGGTCATTTCTAAGCCTTGGCACCACTGATATAATGCTATCATATGTAGTGGTCATTTCTAAGCCTTGGCACCACTGATATGCTATCATATGTAGTGGTCATGTAGTGACCTTTTTCAGTTCTTGGCACCACCAATATGCCACTGCACCATTAATGTAATGTCATCATACGCAGTGACCCTTCTTATGTTAATTCAATTGTAATGCATGTGCTGCCTCAGTGTATTAAATTAGACACCACTTTATAAAGTGTAATGATAAAACAATATTTTTCAATTTTTTTTAACAAAATTTTGTGATCTTTACATTGTATTTTATTTCTCCATTAATGATCACAGAGATAGAATTCTGGTTGTCATGGTGATACAGCACATTTTGTACTTCATTTTGTTATGGTAACATGGCATTTTTTTTGCGACATCTCTCTAAATCTAGATTGCTTACAACCACAGAATTATGTATATACCACTATAAATAGAACTGTTTAGAGACTTGTCTCGGTGGAGCTATGAATGGAGGAATAGGCATGAATTGATTACTTACAGGAACAAATTTGTAGATGTATGTTATTTTCTTGCCATCTGCTTAAGTAGCCACATTGGGTTTGAGTTCTTGTGTCATTTTCACAAGTCAAAAGCATACTAGTCATAAACGGTGATCAGTCAGTATGGAGAATTCTTATAGATTAAAATATATTATTATACATCTGTCAATGTAACGCCATAAGTTACAGCATGCTGTAATTTTGTGTTATTTTACTGGGTATTTTCTTCCATATCAGGAAATGCGAATTCCAAATATGTATATAAAAACAAACATGGCTGCCACCTGGGTTTGACCTGGGACAATTATTGATTGTGTGGTGGGACTTGATTTACTGTGTTATGGCATGCATGGACAGCATTCTTGCAAACTTGGTGACATTGAACCTTAATGCACATGTTTCACACAAATGAAAATGAAAACATTGTTTTCAATTGCCTGTGGTTATACCAGACCTTATTATTATGAATCACAGACTTTTTTGAAAACCAACAATGTTCTATTTAATATATCAATCACATCTAGCCATAGAATTGATATTGCAAGATAAGTCTTGAGACGTGGGGTTGTAAATGACAATCAAGTGTTTCTTTGTCTGTCACCATGACAACCTATGTGTGTGCGTGTGCAATAGTTACTTAAAGTGTTGACATGTCATTGACTATCAAACCACCATATTTTTGAAATTGTCATGTTTGATTGGAAAAAATGTTCTTTCTTTTGATTTGTTCTTTAATTTCCCTTCCTAGTGATTTATAATCAGCATTGCACAAACAGGAAACAAAATTTGAAAATGTAATTTCATAACACATTCTATTGTAGTTATTATGGCTGATTATTATCTTCCCAGCATTTCTCTTTTCATTAAAACAAGGATTATTTCTTAATGTGGAACACAAAATATGTCAACCCTGTAAGTTAGAAAGTTGTTATAAGTTGTCATCACCAAGTCGAACAGATGTGCTATATTTGAGATAGTGAGACTTAAGCTGATTACAGTGCTCCCTAACTTACTGATTAAATGATCTAAATGTTTTTTTAGTATAACCCTATCACTCATTTCTCTTGCTTATCCTATCTACCTCATTTAGTTCTACCTCACTCTGGTAGTTCTTTATTTTGTAAGTTTCATTTTGTCATCTTGTTTTCTAAACTCCCAACTGGACTCCGAAGATTTGTGAAATTCTAACCGTCTTAAAATCGTAATATCTCTCTTCCTTAGATGTCTTGAAATTATGGTATCTTGCCCCCTCCCCCTAGATGTCTTGAAATTATGGTCTCTTGCCCCCTCCCCCTAGATGTCTTGAAATTATGGTATCTTGCCCCACCCCCTAGATGTCTTGAAATTATGGTATCTTGCCCCTTCCCCTAGATGTCTTGAAATTATGGTATCTTGCCCCCTCCCCCTAGATGTCTTGAAATTATGGTATCTTGCCCCCTCCCCCTAGATGTCTTGAAATTATGGTATCTTGCCCCATCCCCCTAGATGTCTTGAAATTATGGTATCTTGCCCCCTCCCCTATATGTTATGAAATTATGGTATTTGCCCCCTCCCCCTAGATGTCTTGAAATTATGGTATTTTGCCCCCTTCCCCTAGATGTCTTGAAATTATGGTATCTTGCCCCTCCCCTAGATGTCTTGAAATTATGGTATCTTGCCCCTCCCCTAGATGTCTTGAAATTATGGTATCTTGCCCCCTCCCCTAGATGTCTT